TTTTTTGTCTAGAAGATCTATCCAGTGATGTCAGCAGGGTGTTGAATTTCTCTGCAATGATTGTATTGCTGTTGATTTCTCCTTGGAAGTCCTCCAGAAGATTTTTAATATATGTTGGTGCTCCTATATTGGGTGCATTTTGTTTACCGAGGTTATATCTTTCTGTTGGATAGATCCTTTCAAAATTATGTAGTGGCCTTCTTTGTCTCCAGTTATGGCCTTCATTTTGAAATCTACTTTATCAGATATGAGTATTGCTTCCCCTGCTTTTTATTTCCTTTTCATTCGCTTGAAAGCTTTTTTTTTTTCCATCCCTTCACTTTCAACCTATGTGAGTCTTTTGTTGTGAGGTAGGTCTCTTGTAAACAACATATATATGAGTCATGCTTTCTTATCCAATCAGCTACTCTGTGTCTTTTTATGGGAGCATTCAAATCATTCACATTAAAGTGATAACTGATATGTAGTTATTTATTGCCATTTTTGTTTAGTGGTTCTATTTTTCTTCCTATTTCTTCTACTAATTACAGCAGTCCTTTTAACATATTTTGCAGTGCTGGGTTGGTGTTAATATTATTCCCTTAGGCTTTTTTGTCTGGAAAGATCTTTATTTGACCTCCTATTTTGAATGATAGCCTTGCTGGATAGAGTAGTCTTAGAGTCAGATCCTTGTTTTTCATGACCTTGATTACTTCATGCCACTCCCTTCTGGCCTGTAGTGTTTCTTGTGAGAAGTCAGCTGAGAGCCTTATGGGGTTTCCTTTGTAGGTAACCTGTTGCTTATCTCTTTCTGCCTTTAGGATTCTCTCTTTGTCTTTAATTTTTGGCATTTTAATTACTATGTGTCTTGGTGTGGGTCTGTTTGGGTTCTTCTTACTTGGGGCTCTCTGTGCTTCTTGAACTTGAATGCCTTCTTCCTTCACCAAGTTAGGAAAGTTTTCTGTCACTATTTCTTCAAATATATTCTCTAACCCTTGCCAATTTTCTTCTTCTTCGGGGACTCCTATGATGTGAATGTTATTATGTTTCCAGTTGTCCCACAGTTTTCTTAAGCTGTCTTCCTGTTTTTTCATTGTTTTTTCCTTTTGGTTTTCTGATTGGTTGATTTTTTTCTACCCTGTCTTCTAATTCACTGATCCAGTCCTCAGCCTCCTCTACTCTGCTGGTTATTCCTTCCAATGTGTTCTTAATTTCTGCTATGTCATTCTTCATTTCCACTTGGTTGGTTTTCAATGTTTCTATATATTTACTCATGGTGCTGATGTCCTTACTCATGCTGATGAGCTTCCTCAGGATCATGGCTCTGAACTCTAGCTCTGATCATTTGCTTAGCTGCATTTCATTGATCTCATCTTAAATAGAGTTCTTTTGTTCTTTCATTTGGGATTTATTTCTTTGTTTCACCATTTTGCCTATCTCAGTCGGTTTTGGAGCCTGCCAAATTTGTCCTGTGGGTGTTGGTGTTCTGCTGTTTGTGGCTCCCTCTGCTGGGTTTGGATGAGCCTGGGTGGGCCCATGTTAAACACCACTGTCAATTCTTACTTTTCTGGGTAGATGTGAAAGCCCACAAAAGGTTCAGTTATCCTCTAGCTTTTACCTGGTGGCTAGTAGTCTCAGTTATTCAGAGCCTTGGAATGTAGCCTGGTGTTCTCCATAAGAGGATTTCCAGAGGGTGGGATAAATGCTGGTTGTTAATGAGCCTCAATTTCCATTTCTTTGCTTCACCTGGGAAAGGTTGAATCTCTGAGGTGGGGGGTCTCCTGTTTTTCCTCACAGCTCAAGTAAAGAGCAGACTGGCCACCATCCTTTGTGGCCGTAACTCAGCAAAAACTCTGAGTGCTCTCCAAATCCCATGTGTCCCCACAGAGTTCCAGCCCAGTCTGCCCTACCTCTGCTGCAGCCCCCAGGTGAGTGGCTGTGGCTATTTTTGGCTATTTTAGTTCTCTATCTGGACTCTCTGTGCTGTGGAACTACTTGGTCTTTATTCCCCAAGGGCGCTGCTGTCCATGGGCTTCCAGCCTGCCACCCTCTCATGCCTCTGCAGATCCTAACAGTGTCTCTGGTTATATGGTCCTGTCCTGCTGCTTTTCTGTTGCTTTTTTCTGAGGACTTCTCTTCATTTTAGTTGTAATTCCCGTTTGGTTCTGGGAGATCATCTGCATAGCTTCGATTCATTCCGCCTCAATTTTTCATATCCTCTATGCCTATCTTGTGCACAGCTGAGTCACACAGGCCTTCCTGGTGCCCCAGCACCCTGCATGTCCCACAGGTAACTGGATCGCACAGTCCCTTTTGGGATCCGGCTCTTTGCCTATGTTATGGGCTTCTGGGTAGCACTGCCTCTCTGGTGCTTCAGCACCCCGCACGTCCCACAGGTAACTGGATAGCAGAGTCCCTGCTGGGTCACACAGGCCTCTCTGGTGCCCCTGCACCTTGCAGTTCCCATGGGCAGGCAGCTACATTACACCAGTCTCTCAGGCTCTGGCTTCCCACTGCTCTTGTGGGCTACTGGACAGCACAGGCCTCTGTGGAGCCCCAGGTCCTGCCACTGGTGGCTGGGGAGTGCTGCTGCCCCATGGGGTTCAACTCCTGCTCAGCTTTTGCTATAGTTTTTGGGGATGGGTCTCAGCTGCTGGTCTGAGCTTCTGTTGCCTGGGGATGAATGTCTGCTCCCCAGCCTCTGTTGCTAGGGGTATATCTGGACTCTGATTGGGCTGCTACTATGGGGGATGGTGCTGGGCTCCAGGCTGTCCATGGCTTCCATGACCAGCACCTTGGGAGCTCTACTACTGTGCACGGGTGTGTGTTGATACAGAGTATCCACTGGTCCAATGGTGCCAGGTGTGCTGGTGGGTTCAGGTTGCTGGCCCCTAGCTGTTCCCACTGCCTCCTCCCAGGGAGAACCTGGGATCTTCCAAAATGGTGGGACCTCCCTGCGGCACAGGGATAAGCCCCCTGAAGAGCTGCTTACTGGGGTAGCTGGCTGTTCCTGTCCATAGCACAGGAACCTTCTGCTCCACATCTTTGCACTGCTCAGGTTTGGTCATCCACCTTCATGTCCACTCACCCTCTCTCACACACTCGCTCACTCTCTCTTACGCTCACCCTCCTTCCGGTCCTGCCTGCCGCCATCTTCTGATCTCAACTTTTAATGCACAATGTATGTTCCATGTAATTTAGTGTAATTCAGGGGGTTCTTTACCCCTTCATTCTCATGAAAGAGGAGTTCTGGTTCAGAGTCAGAGCATTCCTAAAACCACTACTTTTTCTTCAGGCAATGAAGGAAAAGTCCACTCTCTGGAACAAAATAGTTTTTAGGCAGTCCTTGCTGCCCTTTTTAAGCTTCTATATACATTGCCCAACCCCTCATCAGCCCTCATGTTTCCAATTCCATTGTTCTCATTGTTCCAATAACAATCCTCATTTTGTAGTCTAGGGAAGGGCAATCAGGGCAAGACAATAAGCACTATTCAGGTATGTGTAAGGGTTATTAAATATAAACCCACAGGAGGACTGAAGTTGGTTTGGATGCCAGCTAGATGCTTTATTATAGCTACATAGGCATAACTATGGAAAATTGCTGAAATTTGCTGAGGATCATATCATGTTCCACAAGATAATGCTTGCAAGAACTACCATAATATCCAACAAAATCACTAGAATCTAAGACTTTCTCAAGGCCATTCCTTGGGAATCAGCAGCCAGGCAATGAGCTATGGAATACCTGACCACCTGCCCTCATTGGATTGAAGTCCCTATTTTTCCACTGTATAAATTAGAAGCTCTGAATAGAAACAGAGTAATATGGTGGGTTGATATCCTGACAGACTTTATCCAACTATTTCTACTTTACTGTGAAGACTACCTCTCACAAATGATAATCATTGAGTACTTTGAGAAATGTGATCATCTTGCTTTGAGAAATGTGAGTGAATGCTTGGAAAAGAAAAAAGATGCATCTGCAATATTAAAAACCCATGCACTGCCAGGCTGGTGTGGCTTAGTGGTTGAGCGTCAACCCATGCACCAAGAGGTCGCTGGTTTGATTCCCAGTCAGGGCACATGCCCAGGTTGTGGGCCCCAGTTGGGGGAATGCAGAAGGCGGCCAATCGATGTTCTCTCTCATCAATGTTTCTATCTCTCCCTTTCCCTTCCTCTCTCTCTAAAACCAGTAAAGAAAAAGAAAAAACTCATGCACTGTCCATTTTAATGTCTTATTCCTTCACTCATAAATTCTCACTGTACAATAGTCTTTGCTTACTTATTAAGCTTAAATTTGACCCAACTATTATAGATTTATTCCTTCTCCCCACCAAAATAACAGACAACTGCTACTGACTGGTCAGACTCACTTTCTGAATTCTATTATCCCAAGCCTCTGACACTGTTGATACTTCATGCCATGGTAGTATGTTAGTCAGTACTGGCTCAAGAGTTTTGAGGAGACCTAAAATTTACTTTATAAGTGGTGCTAGGAATTTCTCAGGGTCACTTTGGGAAACTGGGAAGGGAAAATAGGTAGGGTATGAGGCCAGGAGTGAATCCCCTACCCTATTTTGGGGCAGTTTTTATTTTATGTATCAGGCTTTTTCATAAATTTTTGTCAGTACAAAGAGTTGAAATGATTTTCAGGGGTTTGAAAATGGCTGGTGTGATACACAGAGATCGTAAGGGAAGTCAGGCTTGGTTAGAAGGCCAGAACCTGGCACTTACTGTGGTAGGAGGGAAAATGCCTCTCCTCTCTAATAATAATCTGCGCACTGCCTACCTCACAGGCTTGCTGTTATGTCGACACACCACCATGAGTGTGGGAAGCACCAAGACTGAGCTTGGCTTCCACCGCTGTTTTCTTAGGCGGAAGTCCCGCCTCCACGTCTCTGCTCATCCCCTCAACCCTCACCCCTCACCCGGAAGTGGATGGACTTTGCGGGTTGGCCGTCCACTCTGCACTCCCAGGTCTTGCATCGCAGGTGGTGGCGTTGATCTCACTCACCAAGATAATGGATCCCTTGGGCCTAGAGTCCCACCCTACCGGCCTTGAGTCTGATCCCGCAGACCTAGATTTTGACTCTCCTGGCCAAGATTATTTCTCCACTAGCCACGAGTTCGACTCTCTCTACCAAGAATTGGACTTGGACTCTCTTAACGAAGATCTTTCTCAACCCATGACAGGCGCCATGACAGAGACCTCTGAGGGCACAGATGAACTCCATCTGACTACTGAACCAGAGGATCTCACAGAGACTGAGCAAAAGGAGCTCAAATTCGAGCTTACTAAGTTGGAAGCTGAAATTGTAACCCTACGCCATGCGCTGGTGGCCAAAGAAAGACGCTGCGTGGAGCTCAAGTGGAAGCTGGGCCTCACGGCCTTGGTGGAGCCGAAGCAGAATCTGCCCAAGAGCCGGCATGATGTTCAAGTCTCCAAAGCCTACGTGAAACAAAAGACGGCAGCTGCACTGTCCACCATGGGCTCTGCCATCTGCAGAAAGCTTGGAGACATGAAGAAGTCAGCCACATTCAGATCCTTTGAAGGTCTGGTGGGGACAATCAAATCCAGAGTTGCAGGTAGCAGAGAGCTTGGCAATGACTTACTTCCTTCTTCAGTGGAGTGTGGAGATAATCCACCCCTGGTTTTGGGGAGTAGAGATGTTCCACCATCAATTTCAAGGAGTGAGAATGATCCAGTTCTGGGGAGTGGACATGATCTAGTTACAGGAACTGGGGATGACCTGCTTCCCTTTCTGGAGCAGGAATGAGCCCTTTGATAACCTTGCCTGGCCTCCTAACCAGGGCAAGAACTCCCTTCCCTCATCACAGTTGTAACTGCCCATCAAAACAAGCAACCTAACCACAATGGTAAAGTTAAATCAGGAAATGGATAGAGTCCAGTTTTGAGAAAAGTGATACCCATTTTTACATAGATATTTGCTGCTGTTGAGACAGAAAATCCAGTGTTTTGTACTGGGTTATTTTACACTAAAGTCTGTAGACGATACTACACTAAACTTCCTGGGGTTGCATTTAAATGAACAAGACAATGGCCCCGGAGGAGTCTAAGGCTTTTTTGGAAAACTAGTCTCATCAGAATGCATAGTTGATTTCTGTTTAAAACTGGTAAAAGGTATAAAGTAAGCTATAAGTCTATCCACTCCCCATCTACTTCCTTCACTAAATCTCAGAAGGAAACTTGAAAGCTTCAACTGGTCTATGATTTTTATTTTAAAAAGATGATCAAGAAAACATGTTTTTCTCTGAGACCCTCAGAAAGGGAAAAAATATTAGGAGACTAATTGTTACATAGTACTATAACTTCTATAAAACTTGATTTTTTAAAAGCTCCTAATTAAGCAAAGTAACTTTAGCTTCAGTTTAGGAGATTGTTAACTACTTTGGATTCAAGCTGAAATTGTAACTTTACTATGCCTTATGCTTTGTTATCTTTTTATATAGCAAAATGAGGGTTTTAAAGTTTAACCCTGTGATAGCATGTCTCTGCCACAGCAGCATGCCACCTAAAAGAAAGGAAGTCGCTTCTCAGTTCTGCAGAAATTCCTAGTCACCACCTCCAGCAGAGGGGCTGTAGGGAAGAGAGCATAGCCAAATTCAAGAAAGATACACCCCTCTCTTAAGCAACATTTAAAACAGAACACCCATCCCCTGTAATGCTGCCTATTATGCCTTTGAATTGACATAACTGATTATATATCACTGGCCACCCTGATTCCAGGTCTGTCCTTGTTTATAGCTAACCCCAACTGAAAGGAAACAGAATCTGATCCTCAGGGAATGTCAGGATAGTGGGAACCTGATTTGAGTTTGTTTGAACTTTCTCATATCTGATTTTTACAGGAGCTATGATGTTTTCTGGGGTTTTTTTGTTTTCTTTTCCCAAGTTCAAAATGCTAGAACCTGGCAGCTTCTTTCATTCCTCTAGTTCACACTGCCTAAGGTAGAAGTTTGTGTCTTAATGGCTTTCAGCAGGGGCATTTATTTGGTGTGGGTATATACTGATAATGTCTCACTGCTTAAAGGTAGTCCCTCCAGCCGAAGGAGATGATTCTGTTTTACTGATTCTTGAATGCTCCCCTATATTCCTTTGGTTTTTTTTTTTTTTTTATAAACAAAACCAAATACCACTATAAATGCAAAAGCACTTGGTAAACTTTTGTCACTAATGTATCCCAGCCCTCCACAGATTTCTGACGACAAATTTTGCTTAGATTAAAACTAGATGTTCAACTATTTTACATGTTTGTTTTTTTCATTTGTGGTGTTTATCAACCAAAATGGTTTTCCATGCTAAAGAACTGGAGACAAACTAGCAGCATGTGTAAAACCAAAATAGTCCAACAGACCTCATATTGCAGAAATGCAGAAAGCCTTGTGTTTGAGAAAAATCTCAGATTGACGTCATGGGCCAAACCCAGGATATATTCTATTTTATTTAATAATTGAAACAAATGTCATAACAGTTTCTCCCAATAAATCCTCAACTCACTGAGAACAGTTAAGAATATACCCATTTTTGATCATCATTGTATTCTCAGGGTAGATGTTCAATAAATAACTTCTGAATTAATGAATAAATATTGCATGCTTCAGACATCACATCTTTGATCTAAGAAATTATCAATAGCATGAATTGGTTAATAAATTCCTAAAGCTTTTAAACAAAGCATTTACTTCCCTAGTCAAAGACAATTTTAGACTCTACTATGTGTCAGGCTCTGAAGGCACAGAAATTAATTAGACATGGTACATGCTTTCTAGAAAGATTTTCAAATTGTTACAGTTCACTTCAGTAGGTATTAAAATAGAGGAAGTCTGTGAAGAAAGAGTGTTCATCTTTGCCTTGGTCAGTAAAAAAAGAATTCATAGAGACAGAAAGTCTTAGAGGACTAGTAGGAATTTGCCGGATAGTTAAAAAAAAAAAAAAAGTAGAACATTCCAAACAATAGCCACAGGAACTAAGTCAGGAAGGAATGTAATAGGATGTGATGTTTCGAGTAACATCACTAAGCCATTGTGGCTACAGAAAAAGGGTAAGTGATGAGAGATAAGGGACATAGGGGCAATATCATAGTCTTATATGCTAAATCAGACATTAGTATTAATCCTGTAGGAAATGGGGAGGACTCGAAGGTACTTAAATCAAATTTCTGTTTCTGATAGATCACTCTGGTCACCATAGAAATAGATTAAGATGTATTTAAGAGGCAGAATCTCCAAGACTTAGGAAACTACTGCATGGGCAAGAGGGATGGATAGATTTGTGAGTTTACAAGGATGTAGCATTGTAAATACTTGATACTAACAATGCTGGAGCTGCACATTCATTTTGCTTTGGCTCTGTTATTGGATTCCAGCATACCTGCAGCCATGGATACCAAATAAATGCCTCCATGCGCATGTAGACTCTAAATTAAAGGTTTCCTCCAGATCTCCTTTCTTCTACTTGCTTCTACCTTTCCCATGCATTGCCTACCTTCATTCTCTAGCCTTACTTCATAATTTGATCACCTTTGTTCATCTGGCCCTATTTACATTTTGTAGCCTAGCTTCATTCAATCTATTTAACTTAAATTGGCCATTCAGGATACAATTCCAATACTTCTTGGAATATATGACCAGAAGATGCTCTGGCCGAATACCTGAGAACCACTAGTTAAGAGAAATGTTGGAACAAAATTCCCCGAGGCTCCCAATTTTCTTGGTCTTCCATCACCCAGATGAGTGATGGAGTAGGGATGCAAGGTAGAGACAAGGGTTGAAAGTTCTAATCCCCACAGATGACACTCCCCACGCAGCTGGTAAGAAAGGGAATAGAGCCCTGGCTGGTTTTGCTCAATGGTTAGAGTGTTGGCCTGTGGACCAAAGAGTTGCAGGTTTGATTCCGGTCAAGGGCACATACCTTGGTTGCATTTCGATCCCTGGCTCTGGTTGGGATCATGTGGGAGGCAACCAGTCGATGTGTCTCTCTCACATCAATGCCTCTCTCTATCCCCCACCATCTCCCCACTCTATTTGATGAGAAATAGAAAAATATCCTCAGGTGAGGATTTAAAAAATAAAAATAAAAATAAACTCGAGTCAGTCTGACTCCAGACTTATTTTTTTTTTTAAAAGAAAGAAAGGGAAGCCCTTGTTTATTGGCATCATCATTTACCCCAACATATTGTTATCATCACTCCCAGAGAACTTCAACAGCAACTTCTGGAGACTACTTTACTTCTAAGCTCCAGATTTGAGAAAAACTATATTACATACCTACTTTCATGGACTGAAAAGAGGTAGGCAGTGGTCAGTTATCCAGAACTATGTAGGTCTTCTCCTAGTTGATAGCCTTATCCACCAAGTGGACAATGATGTCATTTGTTGATACTGTTGGGGAATGAGGTCAGTTGCATCTGGGCCATGGAATTTCACTTGTTGCCCATAAACTCCAATGTGAGAAAAAAAATGAGTGCCATTCTATCAAAACTACAGGGGCCTCAATGCAGTCATCATTTGAGACCATGTCCCATTCCTGCTGATCAGCTCTATTGATTGGAGGCTCCGTGATGCCATAAATTCCAGTGCCTAGAGCCTCTTTCACAAAAGGCAAGTGACAAACAAAAGAATGCCTTCCAGATGATGCAACTTGGGCAACTAGTATGAACACATTATCATGCCACTTGGTCATCTCTCGAAATTACTAAGCAGGTCCCTAAGACAGTCAAAAATGTCTGACAATTCCTGAGAGTTCACCAGGTAGTTTAAAAGTTCATTCTCTGTTTATCTATACTACCACTCCAATAATTGACTACCTCAAGAAGGAAGTGGATTTGTATGGAAGTTGAAGGTTTTGATTACTTCAACCCCAGTTATGGCTACCTGGCCTCACACCCATAGCATCAAAACTGATGCATCCAACATGGTCCAACATTTCCAAGACTTTCCTCTTCTCTTTCTTTCCTTCTTTTTTTTTTTTTCTGTATTGACTTTAGAGAGAGAAGAAGGGAGAGGGAGAGAGAAACATCAATGAGAGAGAACACTGATTGGCTGCCTCCTGCATGATCCCCACTGGGAATTGGGCCCACAACCTGGGCATGTGCCCTGACCAGGAATTGAATCGGTGACCTCTTGGTGCATGGGTTGATGCTTAACCACTGAGCCATACTGGCCGAGCTCCTCTTCTCTTTCTCCTACTCCTAATAAACTGCAGTTGATTGGAGAAGAAATGGTTATCTAACTTAAAGAAATAACTTATATACTTGGCTTAGCCAAACTTTCTAGAACATAAGAACTAAGAGATAAAAAGAATCAGATGGGAATTGGCCTGTATAGTCATATAGATGTGGGATTTTTTGTTGTTGCTGCTGTTTTTGGAACATGTCCAAGCACTGAAAGGAGACCAGAGCAGACATACAGAGCTGCCATGTGACCACCTAGACTCACCCCCTAGCCAGGACTGAGGGCAGAATATAATTTCAAAGAATTAAATGTGTGCTGGGTTGTTGATGCCAAAACTTAACCACCACATAAATCCTCTCTGATACTCCTCAAGTCTCATATCCATGCCATAAAAGAGAAGAGTCACCTTGGTTTTTAAAGTGACAGAAATTGCTTATTCCCACTAGTAAAGATATGGGTCATAGGGGCAGTCTTGGGAAATACTAGGCAAACCAAGGAACCACTAGCACTCTGGCCAGGGAAGAGAAGGAAACTCTACTCCTAAAATATTATTGTTATTTTCAGTTATTAAAGAGTTCTTTGC